ACACCCCCCACTGGGGATTGAGCCCACAACCCAGGCACATGGCCCTGGCTGGAATGGAACCCGGGATCCCTCAGTCCGCAGGCTGATGTTCTATCCACTGAGCCAAGCCAGCCAGGGCATGAGTTCTCTTTTTCCTTCTTTTTTGTTCAATCTCTCCACCCACTCCCAACAACGCCCCCCCCATCACATTTATTAATTTCTGACTGCCTCATCCCACTGACTGTAGTGCTTCTAGACAGCTGGCTTCCCAGGCTCTTCATTCCTCTGTCCCCACTTTGCCCACTTTGTCCCTAACTGGGCTCTGCTGTCCCTCCCCAAACCCTCCAGAAGTGTGGAGACCGGAAGCTTGGACTTGGAGCAAGAGGTGGACCCGCTCAACGTGGATCACTTCTCTTGCACTCCCCTGGTGAGGACACGCAGTCCCGTGCATGTGGGGCGGGGAGACGGGGAGGGGCCTTGCAGGGAAGACCTGCAGGAATGGGGAGGACGAGGGACTGAAGATGGGCCGCCTGGAGAAAGGGCCTCGGGCCTCACCTCCGCCTGTCTCCCCTCCTGTCCTTGCCCTGCCTTCCCCCACCCCCCTTAGATGTGGGCATGTGCCCTGGGGCACCTGGAAGCTGCTGTGCTCCTTTTCCGCTGGAATCGGCAGGCGCTGAGCATCCCCGACTCGCTGGGCCGCCTGCCCCTGTCGGTGGCTCACTCCCGGGGCCACGTGCGCCTGGCCCGCTGCCTGGAGGAGCTGCAGAGGCAGGAGGCGTCAGCCGAGCCCCCGCTTGCCCTGTCGCCACCCTCCTCCAGTCCAGACACGGGTGAGGGTTACCCCTGATCTTTTTAAGGGGGGCTGTGGGTGAGACGGTAGGCCAGGGAAGCTGAAGAGTGGGAGACAAAGTGTGGGAGGGGGGAAATGGAGGAGGAGGCTGGGAAGGGAGATAATACCAACAGGAACGGACAGACAGGGAGACGGACAGCAAAGACGGGGCAGGTTGGAGACTCGAGGGAAGGGAGATGGCCCCTGCTGCCCTCACCCTCCTCCCTTACCTTCCAGGTCTGAGCAGCGTCTCCTCGCCCTCCGAGCTGTCCGATGGCACGTTTTCTGTCACATCAGCCTATTCTAGTGCCCCCGATGGAAGTCCCCCCCCTGCTCCTCTGCCAGCCTCTGAGATTATTATGGAGATGGCCCCAGGCCCGCTCTCCTCTGGTGCCCCAGAGGCCCCCCTGCTCCTCATGGACTATGAAGCCACCAACCCCAAAGGGCCCCCACCCTCACCACCTCCTCCCCCGCCAGCCCTGGATGCAGGGGCTGCTCCAGAGGAAGCTTACAGCCCCCCGGCTGTGGACGTGATCCCGGTACTGCTCACGTGATGGAATTATGAGGGCTAGAGAGAGGGGGGTGGGGGGTGGGCGTGGGGGGAGCCAGCTAGTCCCTGAAACAGATGGAGTCTTGCTTCAGTTTGGGAAGCAGCAGCTATCTACCCTCCTTTTTGGACAGGCAAGGTCATCCTCTGCTTAACTTCTACCAGAGCTTGACTCAGAAGTCATGAGGCATCAGAGGCTAAAAAAATCTGGGGAGAATCTTCAGTGAGAGCTGGATTGTAGGGGTTACCTGTTGATCCATGAAGAGACAAGCTTCCTGGGGAACCAGAGTGATGGAGGGGAAATTGGGAGGGTTGTGGGAGAGAGAGCTTGGAAGATGGAGGTACCTGGCAAGGACTTGGAGAGGAGGAAGCTGGTACATAGAGAAAGCTAAGGAACTTGTGGGGTAAATAAATGAGAGTAGCTCTTTAGGAATAGCAAGAACCGGAGGACATGCGGGCTTTAGAGAGGCTGCTGGATCAGCGAGGGCAGGGTAGCACTGTAAGTACAGAAAACTTAGCGGTCCCACAACATGGGCCGTGTTACACGTGGCCAGCAGGAAGTGCTGCGGGGTCAGGACTGGCGTGGAAGCCAGGCTGAAGCCATTCTGTGGGGCGCTGTGTGGTTGGCTGAGCTGGTTCTTGGAGAGCTGAAGGGGGTGGGGGTGGCAGGCGTGGCCAGACCTGTGGGAATGATGTGCTGGCATGGGCCCGGCCTGGGTAGGACAGTAAGCAGTCAGCCTGGGAGGCTAAGTCCTTCATTTGCTCAGCTTGACTCTCCATCTGGAGTATGTCCTTCCCACCCTGTTCTCCACAATGTCTCAACACAGGCGGAGGCCCAGTGAGTACAAACGCGTGAATGTGGAATAGGGGCTGAGAAAGGCGGGGCTAGAAAGGACAGCAATCCCTGATGCCTCATCTGGCGGTGAGAGGAGGAACAAGGCAGGAAGGGGACTGAGGCTACAGCTGTGTCAGGGCAGGAACACCTGGCAGTGGGGACCCCCAAGACTCACCCCGCTTCTCCGTCCAGGTGGACATGATCTCACTGGCCAAGCAAATCATCGAAGCCACGCCGGAGCGGATCAAACGAGAGGGCTTTGTGGGGCTGCCCGAGGCGGCAGCCTCCCTGCGGGAGCGGACAGGGGCCCTGGGGCTCAGCGAGACCATGTCCTGGCTGGCCAGCTACCTGGAGAACGTGGACCACTTCCCCAGCGCCGCCCCTCCCAGGTGACCAGCTGAGGACAGAGCCTCCGGGCTCCTGTTCCAAGGGAGATGGGAAAGGGGAGGCGGCTTCCCCGCAGCCCACGATCCATCCCGGCAGAGGCCCTGCGGGCCTTTGAGGGCATCGAGGCTGGCTGTGCTCTGAAGCATGCTCTCCAGGCTCCGTTGGTGGGGCTGTCCCTTCACAGCTCCCCCTGGGCAAAGAGGGACTTCACATGCCCCATGACTGCCTCTCTCTGCCCCCACAGCGAGCTGTCTTTTGAGCGGGGACGCCTGGCGGTCCCTCCAGCGCCTTCCTGGGCAGAGTTTCTCTCAGCATCTGCCAGTGGCAAGATGGAGAGTGACTTTGCCCTGCTGACATTATCGGATCACGAGCAGCGGGAGCTGTATGAGGCAGCCCGAGTCATCCAGACGGCCTTCCGGAAGTACAAGGTCAGGAGGCCGGGAGGTCTCCGGGGGAAAGAATGACGCCATCTTTGAGTCAGGGCAGACTGTGGGCTCCCAGGACTTTGGGAGGGAGAGCAGTCACCCAAAGTGGCCTTGGGCGGAAGGTCAGGGGACCTCAGGCCTCAGGCCAGGTGGGAGGACAGGTCACACGTCTGTGAGGTGGGCCTTTAGGTGCTGAGGCTTCCTGCTTTCCCCTCAGGGCCGGTGGCTGAAGGAGCAGCAGGAGGTAGCAGCGGCTGTGATCCAGCGCTGTTACCGGAAGTACAAGCAGGTGAGTCCCTTCCTCTAAAGCAGAACCAACCACACACACCCAGCCCAGCCCAGAGCATCCAGAGTGCTGCTGGAGCCCTGACTCCCCTTCTCTCTCCACAAGCTGACCTGGATTGCACTTAAGGTATTAGGCATGAGGTCCGGGTGTGAGGTGGTCTGTGGTGATTCAAGCTTTTCCACGAGCGTGTGGATTAGGGAGAGAGAGAGACCTGCGCCAGCTGAACTCGGGGTGACCCTCAGGGGTTTGGTTTCTGTCCCTCCAATTCAGCCCGCCTCCTCTCCTCCCCGCTCCCACAGTTTGCTCTCTATAAGAAGATGACGCAGGCGGCCATCCTGATCCAGAGCAAGTTCCGAAGCTACTATGAGCAGAAGCGGTTTCAGCAGAGCCGCCGGGCAGCCGTGCTCATCCAGCAGCACTACCGCTCCTACCGCCGCCGGCCCACGGGCAGCCTGCCGCCCCGCAACAAGTAGGGGCCCGCCCCAGCCTCCGTGCCTGCCCGCCGCCCCCATGCCCACGGCCCATGGCCCCCCAACTCCCAGCCCTTCGTTCTGCCCTAGCCCTTCCTTGCGAGGGTCCCAAAGGGCTGAGGACGGGATGCCTGAGTGTTGGGTGAGTTTTCCTCATCTTTTCTTCCTTCTGCCAGAGGCTCCTTTCTCACCAAAAAGCAGGACCAGGCAGCCCGGAAAATCATGAGATTCCTGCGGCGCTGCCGACACAGGTACCCATCCTTCCTCCTTTTGCTCAGCCACCTCCATCAGCCCACCTCCCCAGGTCTGCCGGCCTCCTCCTCTGACTCCTTCCTTGTTTCTCTGCAGGATGAGGGAGCTGAAGCAGAGGCAGGAGCTGGAAGGGCTTCCCCAACCTGGACTGGCCACCTGACCTCTCCCCACTCTGAGGCCGCTCCCTGCTGTCCTAAGGGAGAGGGCCCTCTGGGGGAGGAGCCCCCTGTCGGCAGCTTTCCCAGTCACTCTGTTTTGGAGATCTCACGAGGTCTCTACCCGCCTCCCCCTCCAAAGTGCTGAACTCCCTCCCCACCCCAGCTCCTCTTACCGCTGGGCCGTGCCCCCTTTTTTGGCCCCTGGCTCCAGAAGACCCACACCCCACACGCCCGGATCTTCAGCCGTGAGCTCCGAGCCCTGCCTGCCCCTTGTCCACAGCTGCCCCCTGGCCTGCACCCGCCTCCCCCTTCCCGGATTGCCTTATTTATTTGTTGGACGCGTCTCTGAATGTATCGGCCTGGCCCCACCTGCCTTCGCCGCGCTCGCCCCTCGTGTTTCAGGGCCCACCGTGCCCCACCGACTCCGCATGTCTGCGTCCGCTTCCTCCCCTTCTGGCCCCGTCTCCCCCGTCACTCCGGCCTGGCCACCACCTCCGGGGCCCAAGGGGAGACTGTATATAGGAGCACGCTGCGGAGTCCACCCCATCCCATCCCTGACGGGAGGGGTCTGTAAATATGTAACATACAGAGTATAGTGAAGAGTCTATTTAAGGCGCCGCGGGGAGGGCTGCGTGGCCGGGCTGCGGCTCCCAGACGCTGTAGGGGCCTCCGCCGGCCCCACGAGCACTTTCTACTTGTGCATGGGCTTAGTTCCTGAGATGCCATTAAACATCGCTGCACCAGCCGGCCTCCGACTTCTGTCTAAGGCGGGGGAGGGGACCGGGGCGGGGCCTCGGCGGGAGAGGCGGCCGCGCGCCCGGCCGGTTCAGCGCCTGGGCGGGGCCGGTGCGAGGTTTCCCACCGCCGACGTGTTTCCGGCCTTAAAGGCATTTCGTCCTTCCCTTTAAGACGCACCGCCCCGTCTCTGTCACTCCCAAGATGGCGGACCTACTGGGCTCCATCCTAAGCTCCATGGAAAAGCCACCCAGCCTCAGTGACCAGGAGACTCGGCGCAGGGCCCGAGGTGAGGACCCCAAATTCACATCTACTTTTCCTCATTCGGTCCTCAGGACCGCGTTCTTCCTCCTTTAGGCGGTGCCGCCTCTTCAACCTTGAAAACCCCCTCAAAGGCCCCTTCATAGGCCCCCCAGAGTCCCTACAAGGGCTGCTGACCCGCCCGCTGTTCTCAGCGGACGGTGATTGGCTGCCCGAAGCCTAGCGCCGGCCTCCTGCCTCTCGCCTGGCCTTGCAGTCCTTGTTTTCTATTCGTCAACAGGCCCGCTTGTCCGCTGCTGGCGTGCTCTGATTGGTAGATTGCCTCCGGGTGCTCCTTGGCCCGCCTTCGGGTCGCAGGAGGGCGTGTTCGGTCACTCGGCCCCGCCCAACTCCGGGCTGGAGTGTCCCACGACCCATTCCCATTCTGATTGGGTCCAGGACACGCCCATCCGCAATCCTTTCACCTCTATTGGCCATCTTCAAGGTCTGCCTATTAAAGACCTTCCTCTGGCCCACCCACCCACCTCAAGCTCCTCCAATTGGTTGATGGGTCCTTTCGCTGTCCTATGCCCCGCCTACTTGATTTAACATCTTTCGAACCCTTCCTGTCTGTAGCCTTACTTTCCCCGGTTCTCCGAGTGGGTCGTGATGTTGATTGGAGAGGAAATGCCTCTGCCGGGTCCGATTGGCTGTAGGCTCCCACTTGCATTCTCTGAGTAACTTCCCTGCAGGCGGGCTCAGGAGTTCGCCTGCCAGCCAAGGGCGCGGTCGGCCCGGCGGTTCAGCCTTCCCCTGGGTTGCTTGCGCTGTGGCGTGTGAAGCAGTCAGACTGAATGTGGCTTGGGAAGGCCCCCACCCCCCAACCCTGCAGGCCTGGAGACCACAGACTAGCCCCGGCCCGGCCCCTGGCTTCCCACCCACCCGAGGGGCCAGGGCAGGCTGCATGCCTTCAGTGCGCTCAAGTGCTGCTTAATTCCGAAATACCTATTGTTTACTAAACGGTTGCTAGGAGCCGGGGTACCCTCAGAAGCCCACGGTCTGAAAGCATTGATGAAATGCACGTTGATTAAAACGATCACATAGAAGTTTAATCATCAGCTTGATAAGTGCTCTGAAAGAAAAATAGTTCTGAGAGCGACTACCTAGGGGTCTTTAACCTAGTCTGTGGAGGCCTGAGATCTGAAGTGAAGGGTAGATAATCCAGTGAGTAAGCGGGGGGAGCAGTGTTACAGGCAGATGTGTGTTTGAAAGCTCTGAGGAAGGAGGGAGCATAATGGGAACCGGCAGTTGGAATTAGTTCGTGCTCACCATGACTACCTGGGAAGACAAAGTTGAGAGTTTAATCACATGCCTGAGGTCGCCGGGTTACTAAGTGGCAGGGTTTTAAATCCAGGTGTGGCTTTTAAGCCTATGACTTGAACGATGATCATCGTATGTCCTCTCAGATACAGAGAGAACTCAAACCAGTTATCGAACACTCAGTGGCCACCGATGGTCAGAGTCCTTGATGTCAGGGGCCACAGAGGATAGGTGAACAGGGTCCCTGCGTCCTCGGAGCTTACAGGATGGCAGGGGAGACAAAGTTACATTAGATTGGCTCTCAGCACATGCTGTAGATGTCGGAGCTGAATGTGTGTGGGCCCCAGAGGAAGAAGTGAGTAACCCTGACTCATGGTGAAGCTCAAAGTTTGCAAGAGGAGGAAAAGCATTTCAAGCAGAAGGAACAACATGTGCAAAAGAACAACATGTGCAAAGGCATGGAGTGATTAGGAAAATGGGAAGAGGTCGGTGCAGCTAGAGCTAGTTGGATCCTGTGGAAGAAATGGGCCTTAAGGATATAAAGGATTTAAAATGATAAAAGAGAGGAGAGGGAACATAAGATGTAAGGATGGGAAGTTTCTCTACAAATGACTTTGAACACCTACATTCTCAAAGGAGAACGGTGTCAGATTAGTCATTTCAGCTTCATCTTGTCTGTAGAAGTGAGAAGTTGTGGGGAGGGGCGTAGGAAGGGGTTACAAAATATAGGTAGGAAGTTAAATAATTTCCTCTTTCCCATGTAGACAATGAGATGATGAACTCTTTAAGGACAGGGCCTTAGTCTGGTCTCCTTACCTCCGCAGGTGCCTTATAGTTCTTTGTATATTGTGGGTAGTAAATGTTTGTTAATTGGTTTCCCCTGTGAGATTGGGAAGTGCGGTTAAGCATAGTTCTAATCTTTGCTACTCCTCCTAAACTGATCTCTTGAAGGGCAAAGCTGTGTCTTACAGATCTTGGTGCTCCAGGGCCTAGTACAGTGCCAGGTTAAAAAATCGATAAATGCTTGGTGAATGAACAGTAGCCCTCCCAGTGGACACCAGACCTCCTTTGAAACCTTACAACCCTCCCCACCCATGCTTCTGCCCTGGCCTCATGCTGCCATTTCTCACCCCCAGAGCAGGCTGCCCGCCTGAAGAAACTACAGGAGCAAGACAAACAACAGAAAGTGGAGTTTCGTAAAAGGGTGAGAACAACCGGAGAGATCAAGGCAGCCTCAGGAAGAATTTCCAATGAGTCAGAATTAGAACTCAGGGATTTTGAAAATGTCTCAGGAGCGGTGAAGCCTGGAAGCTGATGGCATGGAGGCTGGGTTAGGTGTGGGGAGGCAAAGGCCCATAGGAAGAGGGATACTGGGGCAGAGCCATCATCTCATATGTTCTCCCCGTTTCCCTCTCCCAAGATGGAGAAAGAGGTATCCGACTTCATCCAAGACAGTGGGCAGATCAAGAAAAAGTTTCAGCCGATGAACAAGATAGAGAGAAGCATACTGTGAGTGCCTTGGGCTGGGGAGGCAGGAAGCGGGTGGCCAGGCTGGCATGGAAGGTCCAGGGTGGAAATCCACCAAGAGGAGGGTGCTAGGCCCCTCGTGGCTCTACATACTCTTTCCTCTGTCCTCCCTCCCCTCCCAGACACGATGTGGTGGAAGTGGCTGGCCTGACATCCTTCTCCTTTGGAGAAGATGACGAATGTCGCTATGTCATGATCTTCAAAAAGGTAAAAGGCCTGGGTTCCCCACTCGCTCCCTCTCAGCCTGTGCCCCCTTGGGAGAGAGAAATGAGATGAAACATGTACATGGAGCCTTGAGCTCATCATCCCTCCTTCCTCAGGAGTTTGCACCCTCAGATGAAGAGCTGGACTCCTACCGTCGTGGAGAGGAGTGGGACCCCCAGAAGGCGGAGGAGAAACGGAAGCTGAAGGTGAGTTATGCCTAGCAGTCCCTGGAGCCCACCACCTGGGAGGCGTTGGGGTCAGACCCCTGAGCACCAGTGCCACTCTTCTGCACCCCTAGGAGCTGGCCCAGCGGCAGGAGGAGGAGGCAGCTCAGCAGGGACCCGTGGTAGTGAGCCCCACCAGTGACTACAAGGACAAGTACAGCCACCTCATCGGCAAGGGGGCAGCCAAGGATGCAGCCCATATGCTTCAGGCCAACAAGACCTATGGCTGTGGTGAGGCCACAGTGGGAGCTGGGGAGGGCAGGGGGAGGGCAGGCTAAGGCACCGGGATCCTAGGCCCTCCCCACCCTTTCCTCTGTCCCTAGTGCCCGTGGCCAACAAGAGGGACACACGCTCCATTGAAGAGGCCATGAATGAGATCCGAGCCAAGAAGCGTCTGCGGCAGAGTGGGGAGGAGTTGCCCCCTACCTCCTAGGCACCCCGGCTCTCTGGGGCAGGGCGGGGAGGGACAGGCTGCTGCTATTACAACCCATTCTGGAGCCCCACCTCTGAACCACCTGCTAACGGCCATCACTTAGGCTGGAGGAAGCAGGTGTTTGATTCGTCACTGTTAAGAGTTTGGATATGTATGTGGTGTGTGTGTGTGTGTGTGTGTGTGTGTGTGAGAGAGAGAGAGAGAGAGAGAGAGAGAGAGAGAGAGAGAGAGAGAGAGAGAGAATGCACAGGTGGGTATTTAATCTGTATTATTCTGTTCTCCTTGGAACTTTCTTCCCCATGGGGCTGGGGTTACTTTACATTCAATAAACACTGTTTGAACCACTGTCTCGGTTTGTTTAACCAGAACAAGAGGTGGGTCCTGGAGCGGAAGAGAAGTGATTTTGGCTTGAGCAGGATAAAACTGTTGTTTGTGTAAGCCAAGGATAGCCAAATATTGGCCCTTTCATACGTGAAAGTATTTTAAGAGCACAATTGCTAGGGCCAGAGGGCCTAATTTTGGATACAGGCTGTACCAGTTTCTGTTTCCTTGGGTAGAATATTTGACTTTTTTGTGCCTCGGTTTCCTCATCCATAAAATGGGATAATAATGGTAACTATCTGATAGGACTGTTTCAAAGATTACACAAGTTGCCCTAGCTGGTTTGGCTCAGTGGATAGAGCGTCGACCTATGGACTGAAGGATCCCAAGTTCGATTCCAGCCAAGGGCACATGCCTGGGTTGCAGGCTTGGTTCCCAGTAGGGGGCGTGCAGGAGGCAGCCAAAGATTCTCTCACTGATATTTCTCTCCCCCCTCCCTTCCTCTCTGAAATCAATAACAAAATAAATAAATAAATAAATAAACAAAGATTACACAAGTCAGTACGTGTCAGATATTGAGAGCAGCTGAACACCTTTGATCTCCATAGAAGTGATAGCTGCTCTGGGTTTTACGTCATCCTCACAAAGCACTGACACCACTCGCTGCAGGCTGGACTCCAACTTACTGGCAGGTCTGACCCAGCTTCCCCGCCTGGTGATGTCAGGCCCTCGATCCCCCTCCTGGTTCTAGTTCCATGTTCTGTCAGTGCTTCCAGCTTCATTTCACACGTGCACCTGCTTCCCCGGCCTCCTTCACAATGTGAACTTGGTTGTTCTAAATCCAGCCCAACTTCCTCCATGACCAGCCCCTCACTCCCGCTGTCACAGCAGGTGGTATATGTGTTCTCCCTTTCCTGCCCGTCTCCTGTCTTTTCCAGAGACAAGCATCCCTCCCACAAAGGAGCACGCGGCCGTGTTGCTGGCACCAGTGTTTATTTCAGGGAGAAGGGCTTGAAGGCCTCCATCTAGGGTCCGGGGCCCCAGCTTCTCACTTGGCCTTTGGGTTGCGGAATTTGCGTCCAGCAAAGACAGCCTTGTCCCCGAGTGCCTCCTCAATCCTACAAGGTAGACCAAGTCAGAGCTGCATCCTTCCAACCCAACAGCCCTGAGCTCCCCGCACTCAGCCCACCGCACCCTCTGTACCTCATGAGCTGGTTGTATTTGGCCAGACGCTCTGAGCGGCAGGGGGCACCGGTCTTGATCTGAGGAGGGAAGAGGGATTCCAAGGGTTGCAGGAGGCTAGAGAGCAGGGACTGGGCCTGGCCCTGAGGAAGTAGCCTGTGGTGCCATTCAACTCAGGGGCAAGAGGCCAGGGATTCCCCCCAAAATGTATTCTGACATGACAGAGGGGAGCCATGAGTACCTGTCCTGTGCAGAGCCCCACCACGAGGTCGGCAATGAACGTGTCTTCAGTCTCCCCAGAGCGGTGGCTCACCATCACTCCCCAGCCATTAGACTGCGCCAGTTTGCAGCTGGTGGAGAGGATACTCCATAAGGCCCAGCCTAACGGGACCTCCTCAGTGGGAAAGCCAGGGCTGGACGGGGCTTTTCTGTTTTGGGTAGTGGGCACTTTGCAGGGAGGGTAAAGACTAAAGTTGTTTGGAAACTAGGAGAGAAGGGAAGATTCCTGATCTTGAACTGGGTTCCTGAGATGCTGGAAGGAAGAAGGGCAGAATCTTGCAGAAAAGAACGGTGTTGGGTGGAGGTGGGGACAGCAGGTCACAATGGCAAAGCTCTTGGGGCCAGGCCAAGACTCAGTCAAAGCCTGGGCTGGTGTGGCTCCGTGGCTGAGTGTTGACCTGTGAATCAGGAGGATATGGTTCGATCCCAGAAGGGGCACATGCCTGAGTTTTGGGCTTGGTCCCCAATGGAGGCGTGCAGGGGGCAGCCGATCAATGATTCTCTCTCATTACTTATATTTCTATCTCTTCCTCTCCCTTCCTCTCTGAAATCAATTAAAAAATATGTATTTTTTAAAGCTGGTCAAAGCCTTGAAGTCAGTCAAGACAGTGGGGTGTGTCAGGAGCTAGGGGAAAGGTAGAGTTGTAGTTTGAGGGCAGGACTGCAGCGGGTGGCAGAACTGGGGTGGACGGAGGCCATGGCGCACCCCAGGGCAGGGAGGCACTCACGCCTGGATGGATTCGGTCACCGAGCCAATCTGGTTGACCTTCAGCAGCAAGCAGTTGCAAGCCTTCTTCTCCACAGCCTGGGCGATCCTCTTGGGATTGGTGACTGTGAGGTCATCTCCTACAATCTGTATGTCCACCCCCGAGAGGAACGCGGTCCAAGTGGCCCAGTCATCCTGGTCAAACGGGTCTTCAATGGAGACCACTGGCGGGAGATGGGCAGAGTCAGGTTAAAGGTCTGAGGGCTTCCTGAAGGGGGTGACAGGTCAGAAGAATTCGTGTGGAGATTGCAATGGTGCTAAGGATTGAAGGGCTGAGTTGGTGGCAATGGAGGCTCTGAAGTCAGTGTGTTGGGCAGTGCCAGGTACGCAGGCAGGTGCACTGGAACACCTGGGGGGGCTCACCAGGATAGTTCTTGATGAAGCTCTTGTACAGCTCCCCCAGCTTCTCTCCAGTGATGTGCCGGGCGGGGTCATCAGGTGACTTGAAGTCAAGATCGTACTTCCCATTGCGATAGAACTCAGATGCTGCCACATCCATACCAATCACCACCTTGTCTGGGTAGCCAGCGGCCTGGATGGCAGTCTTTAGCAGCTCCAGGGCTGGGAGAAGGACAAGAGAAGACCTGAGGCTGCAGGGCACCCTGTCTCCACAGGTCCCTCCTCTGTGAAGACCCAGGGGTTCTGCCCTTCAGAGTGCTCACACTGACCCTCATTGTTCTCCAGGATGTTGGGTGCAAAGCCGCCCTCATCACCCACATTGGTGGCGTCCTTCCCATACTTGGCCTTGATGACCCCCTTGAGGTGGTGGTAGACCTCGGCACCAATGCGCATGGCTTCCTTGAAGGAGCTGGCTCCCACGGGCAGAATCATAAACTCCTGCATGGCCAGCTTGTTTCCAGCATGGGAGCCCCCATTGATCACATTGAAGGCCTGAGAGGAGGAGGGGGTGTTCAGACCTGGGCCAGGGTATGAAGGATCAAGAAGAGCTAGGGAGGAGGGGTCGAGGTGGAATCTTGGCTTCCCTCCTTACTAGCTGAGTGACCTAGCGTGAGTAATTTTACTCCTCAGAGCCTCTTTCCTCATTTCTCTCATGGGAATACCACCTGCTTCCCTGCAGGATCTTATGCTGAAAATTAGAGAAATGGAATGTAAAGCATGTGCCTATACACAACAGCAACTGATATAGCACTTAGCACAGGCCAGACACTGCTCTAGTGGCCCCTCACATATACTCTATTAGCTCATTTCATTCTCTAAACAACCCTATGAACTAGGTACTATTATTATCCCCCACTCTGCAATGAGAAAACGGAGGCATAGAGAAGTTAAATAACTTGCCTAAGATCACACAGCTAACACAGGCAAAGCCCGGATTCGAACCCAGCAGCTTATCTCCACAGCTCATGTTCTAATACCATCTGCCTAGTAATAACAATAAAAAATTTCAGCTTTTTATTTTACCTCTTTTTTAAAAAATAGCTTTTATGGTATGAAGTTGTTCATAGTTCAGGCTTTGTCTGTAACATTTTTATTGACATTAAATTCAAAGGGTTCCCATAAAAAGGAAATCTGAGCTTACAAAGATTAAAGAAGATACAAAGAAATGCCAAGATCCTTGCCATTAAGAAGCTCTCTATCTGTTTTGGGGGTTGGGGTAGAAAGCAAAATAAGAAGCTGCAGTTATTGAGCCCCGACTGGAATGTGAAGGAACTGGGTTACGTGAAGGCGAAGACGCAGAGGCGTAAGGGAAGGTTGGACTGTGGGAGAGAAAGGGGGACTGGACTGAGCAGGAGAGGTTCCATTTCAGGAAACTTCCTTTGGAGCTGGGTCTGGAAGGTGCACTTCCCAGGGGCTGCTTAGACACTTTTGCTGGAGGAGGCCTCTGTCATCTGGGATCCGGGGAGCTCTGTACTCACAGGCACTGGGAGGACCAGGTCCGGGTTCCCAGCAAGATCTGCGATGTGCCGGTAGAGCGGGACCCCCTTCTCAGCTGCGCCAGCCTTGCACACCGCCAGGGACACTCCCAGGATGGCATTGGCTCCAAACTTGGCTGCAGGAAGCAAGCGCACAGAAAGGGTGAGAGCTTCTCCCCCAGTGTTCGGGGTCATCTCCTCCAAGGGGAGTGTGTCAGCTTCACACCTGTGGCCACGGCCAGCAGGAAATGCCTGAGGAATGAATGAAAGTCCACCCCGCTACGATGTGCCCCCAAATGTGGGACACAGCAATAACCCTAACCAGACATTAGCCCCAGGGTCTCCCCCCTCTAACCTACATCCCTTCCCTTCTCCATCCTTAGCCCTTCACTCACATTTATTCTCAGTCCCATCCAGCTCAATCATAAATTTGTCGATTTTTTCTTGATCCACGACGCTTAGTTTCTGGAAGAGCAGGTTTGAGGAGGGGAGAGCAGAAGTCAGATTTCTAAAGAGCCAGGGCACGTGCAGAAGAAGTGCAGGTATCTGGAGAGAGGGACCAGAGGCCTCTCCCAGGCAGGGGGCGGCCGGGGGGCAGGAGGAATAAGCTCTCCCCACTTGCCTTTTCCAGCAGAGCAGGACCCAGGGTCTTGTTGATGTGCTCCACAGCCTTCAAGACGCCTAGAGGCCAGGGGAGGGGGTGAGATCTCTGATTCAATCACATCTCTTCCCGTGGACCTCAGCTCCTCAAGAACTTTGGGTTCCAGTCCTTTACTCCAAACAGATATTGGGGGGCAGGGTTCCACATCCTGAAACCCCCCCTCACAGGCGCTTTCAGTGCTGGTCTTTCCTCACCTTTGCCCAGGTAGCGAGATTTGTCTCCATCTCTTAGCTCCAGAGCTTCATAGATGCCCGTGGAAGC